TATTGCTTATGGGTCCAGTTGTGAGGATTTTTGTTTTCTTTATGTTGAGGTGTCATCCATACCGAAGGCTGTGGTCTTTGATCTTCATCGGTTAGTGCTTCAAGTCCCCTTCACTTTCAGGAAGCAAACTTTTGTCATCTGTGTAACCTAGGTTGTTAGTGAGTCTTCTGCCAATCCTGATGCCGCGTTCTTCTTCATATAGACCAACTTCTTGAATTATTTGCTCAACATATAGATTGAATAAGTATGGTAAAAAGATACAACCTTGACTCACACCTTTCCTGACTTTAAACCACTCAGTATTCCCTTGTTCTGTTCAAACAACTGCCTCTTGGTCTATGTACAGGCTCCTCATGAGCACAGTTAAGTATTCTGGAATTCCCATTCTTCGCAATGTTACCTATAATTTGTTATGATCCACACAGTTGAATGCCGTTGCATAGTCAATAAAACACAGGTAAACATCTTTCTAATATTCTCTGCTTTCAGCTAAGAGCCATCTGACATCAGCAATGGTATCCCTCATTCCACGCCTTCTTCTGAATCTGGCTTGAATTTCTGGCAGTTCCCTGTCTATGTACTGCTGCAATTGTTTTTGAATTACCTTCAGCAGAATTTTCCTGCTGTGTGATATTAATGATACTGATAATTTCCACATTCTGTTGGATTTTTTGCCTATGGAAGTCCAATTGTTTTAGCAGCACTTGCCGCGAGAACTGTCGTTCCTCCATTGTATTGCTTTTATGCCTTTGCCTGGTATCAGCTGGGCATATCTATGAATATCTGGGCCCATTCCTGGATTCTCTACTCTGTTCGTCCATCTGTGTGTCTGTCCCTCTACCAGTCCCACCAGGTCTTGATTACTGTAGCTGTCTAATAAGTGTTGGACTAGCGTAGACTGATTCCTCTCACTTTAGACTTCATTTTCAAAATTGGTTTTAATATGCCATCCCTGGGGCCTGCCATGTAACTCTAATCATCACAGAGAGCATTTGACTGAAATCACCCCCTCACTTCCTGTTTGCCACCAAGTTACATGCAGGTAGCTTTGCTCAGAGCTAAAGTGACATTCATGATAAATTTAGTTTCCTGATACCGTTACTCTGGTCTTCTTGTGATTACAGTTGTTTTTCTTTATTTAGTTAGTTTTTCTTTTTTTTCTTTTTTTTGTGGTAGTAGTCCCCCACCCCCCCAAAAAAAACCCATTGTCGTCGAGTCGATTCCAACTCTTAATGGCCCTAGAGGACGGAGTAGAACTGCCCCATAGGGTTTCCCACGAGTGGCTGGTGGATTTGAACTGCCGACCTTTTGGTTGGCAGCCTTAGCTCTTAACCACTGCGCCACCAGGGTTTCCGTAGTAGTAGTGGTGGTGGTAATAATATAAATTCTTTAAGAGTTTAAGGTGAGGCAGTGGTTCTCAGACGGAGCTGTATCCGAATCGCCTGCAGGCCTTGTTTAAACAGATTTCTGGGCCCCACCCCACAGTGTCTGATTCTGTAGGTCTGGGGTGGGGCCCAAGAATCTGCATTTCCACAAAATTCACAAGTGATGTTGGTGCTGCTGGTCCAGAGACCACACTTTGAGAACCATTAGTGGAGCCCTGGTGGTGCAGTGGTTAAGAGCTCTGGCTGCTAACTAAAAGGTCGGTAGTTCGAATCCACCAGCTGCTCGCTGCTTAGAAACCTGATGAGGCAGTTCTGCTCTGTCCTATAGGATTGTTATGAGTTGGAATCAACTCGACAGCAACGGGTTAGTTTAGTTAGTTAGTGTAGGTAAGTTTTCCCAGCATCAGTGGTTAAAATGGCTGAATATTTAGTCCTTTTTTTCCTTGCTCTTTCTCTCTGCTTTTGTCTAAAACAGTACTTTTTTTTATTGTATTTTATTTTATTGTCGTACTTTAAGTGAAAGTATACAATTCAAGTTAGTCTCTCATACAAAAATTTATACATACATAGTTATGTGACCCTAGTTGCTCTTCCCATAATGTGACAGCACACTCCTCCTTTCCACCCCAGATTTCCTGTGTCCATTCAGCCAGCTCCTGACCCTCTCTGCCTTCTCATCTCACCTCCGGACAGAAGCTGCCCATTTAGTCTCATGTATCTACTTGAGCTGAGAGGCACACTCTTAACGAGTATCATTTTATGTCCAATACACCAGTCTAATCTTTGTCTGAAGAGTTGGCCTCGGGAATGGTTTTAGTTCTGGGTTGACAGAGTCTGGGGGCTGTGCTTTCTGGGGTTCCTCCAGTCTCAGTCAGACCATTAAGTCTGAACTTTCTCCTAGAATTTGAGTTCTGTACCTCACTTTTCTCCTGCTCCATCAGGGACTCTCTGTTGTGCTCCCTGTCAGGGCGGTCATTGATGGTAGCCAGGCAGCATCTAGTTCTTCTCGTCTCATAAAATGGTACTCTTTATGATCTTTTGTTCTGGGATTTCTTCCCTTCCACAGAAGTCTGTAGACTGACTTCCCTTCTGCAAAGGAACGTTCAGCGTTACAGGGATTTTGCGAAGAGAGCAGAATCTGTGGCGTCTTATTTCCAGGCTTAGAAAAACCATTTTTGGGACCACGTGTTGGGGACCAGACACTGCTAACAAAGAATGTTATTCCCAGGACTTAGGTGTTTACACAGGCAGCCCTAGTGGTGCGGTGGTTAAGTGCTCAGCTGCTAACCAAAAAGGTTGGTGCCTCAAACCCGCCAGCAGTTCTGTTGGGGAAAAGACCTGGCGATCTGCTCCCATAATGATTAAAACCCGTTGCTGTTGAGTCAATTCTGACTCTTAATGATCCTATAGGGCAGAGTAGAACTGCCCCATAGGGTTTCCAAGGCTGTAATCTTTACGGAAGCAGACTGCCACGTCTATCTCCCATGGAGCAGCTGGTGGGTTTCAACCACCAACCTTTCAGTTAGCAGCCACGCATTTAACCAAGGGAAATCCTTTGGGGCAGTTCTGCTTTGTTCTGTAGCGTCGCTTCAGCTCGCTGGCAGGCAGCAATAACAGACATTTACATATAATAAGAATGCAGTACAATAAGAGGCTAAAACTTGAAGATGTTTTCATGCCTGCCTTCATATCTTCCCCGTAAAGAAAACCAGTTACGTTGAGTTGACTCCGATTCACAGTGACCCCACGTGGGTCAGAGTAGAACTGTGCTCCACAGGGTTTTTAAGGCTGATTTTCAGAAATAGACTGCCAGGCCTTTCTTCCAGGGTACCTCTGGGTGAACTCAAACCTCCAGCCTTTTAGTTAGCAGCCGAGTGTGCACCACCCGGGACTCCTTTCCTTTTAGAACCTTTCTCAGCAGGCTGGCTTGGTGGAGGCATTTCTTTGGGGCACAGCGAGGGGCTCCCTGCTGCCCACTGTCCTGCAGACAGTGCTCCCCGGGAGGAGAGATGCCAGCCCAGCCCGTGCGTTTATTCACTTTACACAGTGAGAAAGACTAGACGGAATACCCTTCATACCCGCGCTCTGATTCTGACCAGCTTTGCAGACTATATATATACTCTGCTGTGATCTGACAGTGGGTTTTTAAATTTTTTGTACCATTTTTTAAATTGTAATAAATATATAGGTAGCTATGCATTTGCCGTTTCAACAAGCTTCACTTGTACAGTTCAGTGACATTAAGTATGTTCATTATGTCCCGCAACCACACCGTTCACCGTTTGCCTGACCACAGTTTGGAGTTGCCTCTTAAGAACCCGCTGTCCTCCTGTCTGGAGGTGAGATGAGAAGGCAGAAAGGGTCAGGAGCTGGTTGAAAGGACACGGGAAATCAGGTGGAAAGGAGGAGTGTCTGTCACAGTACAGTGAGAACAATTAGGGTCACATAACAATGTATGTATACATTTTTGTATGAGAGACTAACTTGAATTGTAAACTTTCACTTAAAGTACAACAATTAAAAAAGAAGAACCCGCTGTCCATTGCAAAAGGTCCTTGACTTTGAGTCATGGGGATGGGTGAAGCGTGTTCTTCCACAGGGTCTCAGGCTTCTGGAGGCACACCAGCAACTTATTAGAGCCACACACCCCCCTCCAGTGCTCCCTCTGCCTCTTCATCCCTGCTCCCCTCTACCGCGGTGACCAGCCACCATCCCTATCCCACCCGAGCCACCACCCACTCCTGCAGTGCCCAGCAAGCCAGATCTGGAAAGACTAGGCAGAAAGTCCACATTAGAGCCCTAAGTTAGCATGCTATGGCGCAAGAGACGTCTTTTAACTTAAATGGGCATTCTCTTTTCTGCCGCGGAGAGAAGTCAAGGAAAATAAAATATTTTGTGCTGTGTTTGCAGGTGAGAGCCTGCGGGGAGCAGCGCCCTGGTTATTTATCCTTGGCGTTGTGAGGGCAACTTGGAAATCCCGTCTCTTCTCTGCGTGTTACCCTCTAGCTCTTTCCCTGTTCCGTAGGGAAGTCTTCATTTCTGTTCTCTGCTCATAAAAACATGTGTTTGGCAAGTCTGAATTTTCATTTGGACTTTGCATCATCTGCTTCTTGTCCTTTAAGTGTCTGGGGGAAGGGGACGGGGGTGGAGGGCGTGTGGAATTGGCATTCAAGTACCCAACATAAAAACTGGATTTTTTAAAAAAATGGTGCTGTATTTATTTTGGGAGTCCCTGGGTGGTTCAACTGTTAATGTGCTCAGCTGCTAACCAAAAGGTTGGAGGTTCAAGTCCTCCCAGAGGTGCCTTGGAAGAAAGGCCTGGCAATCTACTTCTCAAAAATCAGCCATGAAAGCCCTATGGAGCACAGTTCTACTCTGACACACATGAGGTCGCCCTAAGTCAGAGTCACCTTGACAACAACTGAAATATTTATTTTACAAACAGCAACTGATGGCTAATATGAAAAGATGAAAGTCTTCGTGCATGAAGACTTCCTAATCGTGAGGTCATTCAAATCAAATGCTTTCATTTAAAAAAAAAAAAAAAAATCACATTATTTTGGATGAGAACATCTTTAAAGTCTCCCAGCCCTGTCCCACAATAAGAGAACACCCACTGCGTGTGGTCTTTAAGGCACCAGCTACTGGTCCCCAGTCCGGCTCTGGGAGGCCTTTGGTAGGAATTGTCTTTAAAACGCGCTTGAGCAGAGGCTCGTAACTAACTCCTGGTTCCCCTGTGTCCTTCCTGACAGGCGTCGGAGATGGCAGAGGATGGCAGCGAAGAGATCATGTTCATTTGTGAGTCCCAGCTGAGCCACGTCCACATTTTGCTTATATGATACAGAAAAGCTGTGGTTTCTTTTTTTTTTTTTTAAATTAAAATGATTTCCACTTGCTTCAAAAAGCATGATTTATTACATAGAGCTGAGCTTCAGAGGCATAACTTTGATGGGATCATCTTTCTCAGAATCCCTGGTCAAGGGTGCTTTTCAGGGAGTAGCCATTGATTCAGAAAAGTAACCCCAGGGTTTGAAAAGAGGGCAGTGAGTTAGGTGTATGTTAGATTCACGCTGGTGAATTTCCACTTCTCCTCTTTCCTGGAGGAGAGCTTGTTCTCCGTGGCCACAGATGTAACCATGGACCATTCGCAAATGTGCCATAGCCCTTAGCTGGCTCTTCTCCTTGAGGGAGATGTCCTATTTATTTGTGGGGTCCCTCATGGGATGGCCTTCATGACACACGTCCCGCTTTACCAGCTGAGCCCTCCATGGTCTTGCTGTGTGTTTGTATCATGGCCATCTCCACCGGGCAGGGACCTGCATTCCCCTGTGTGTGCCACATGATGTTCTTGCCTGTATCCCCCTGACAATGGTCCCATGTCTGCTTCTAGGGTGTGAAGACTGCAGCCAGTACCATGACTCCGAGTGTCCCGAATTGGGCCCAGTGGTCATGGTCAAGGACTCCTTTGTCCTGAGCCGGGCAAGGTGAGTGGCGGCCGTGAGCAGTGTGTTGTACCCTCCTGTCTGTGAGATGGGGTTTTCTGTAAGTCAGCCATGCTGAAAGCTGGTCGCCTTCACGTCTGCCAGAAGAGCAGACCCAGCTGAAGAATGAGGGCGAAAAATGCCCGCTTCCAGCTTCCAGAGGGCGTTAGGGGTTTCTGTTCCACTGTGCGCTGAGCAGCTTTGCCACCTGTGGCGTGTGAGTGTCTGTCATCGGGTTGGGGTTCTCAGACACAGCATGACAGATGTGCAGAGAGGAGGGGTTTAGTTGACATGTGCATTGAGTGCTGATGGCCCAGCCTATAAGTACGCTGTGAAACAGTGATCTCACAGTGCTTATCTAATACCACCCAGGGGAGCAGACGCTGCTCAGTCTTCTGCGTGCTCCGCGTCAGGGCCTGCCATCTGACCAAGGCATGCCACGGCCAAGGTGGGCTGGGGTAGGGCACTGGGTCTGCGTGCAGGTAACGGTGCAAAGGCATTGCTGCTTCCGAGAAAATACCTGCAGAGCTAGCGATGGACACTCAGGGGCCGGCCTCCGCAGTTGGCCCTGCCACCCATGCTCACCGTGCTGCCCGGCTGGTGTCCCTTGGGGAGGTGGGTTTGCCAGGTGCTGCAGTGCAGGGGCTCTGAGGTCACAGCCTAGACCTGTCACTTCGCTGCTGTTTGAACTTGAGCAAGCATTTCCCCTCTCTGAAACTCCGCTGCCTTGTCTGTAAAGCGGGGAGAATAATGGTATCACTGGAAAGGTCGTTGTGACCGTTACGTGTGATTGTTGCTGCTAGTTACTGTGGAGTGGACTACGGCTCATGGCGACCCCATGTGTACAGAGTAGAGCTGCTCCATAGGGTTTTCAAGGCTCTGATTTTTCAGAGGCAGATTGCCAGGCCTGTCTTCTGAGGCACCTCTGGGTGGGTTCCAGCTGTCAGCCTTTCAGCTAATAATTGAACACACTGAACGGTTTGCTTACCCAGCTGTCTGTGTCATAGTGCTTGGCATATAGAAGATGCTAAAAAGATTACTGGAGGCCCTGGGTAGGTGCAAACGGTTAACATGTTCTACTGCTAACTGGAAGGTTGGAGGTTCAAGTCCACCCAGCGGCACCTTGGAAGAAAGGCCTGGCAACCTACTTCTGAAAGATCAACCATCGAGAACCCTACGGAGCACAATTCTACTCTGACACACAGGGATTGCCACGAGTCAGAATGGATTCGACAGCAACTGGTTTTAAAAAGATTATGAACTTATTGGTACTATTTCCAGAAGCCTCCCAACTGGTTTTCTTGGCCTCTTTGTTATTATTATTTTTTCTCATTTTGATCTATCCTACTCCAAACCTTGAGATCAATATTGTTGCCTAAAGTTGAGACCTGATCAACCTTTCCCATCCCGAAAGACTTCAGGGGCTTCCTGTGGCCATTGAAATTCACTTACCCCACTGGCCCAGCAGGGGGCGACCTCTGTGATTTGGGTCTGTCCCTCTTAGCCTGACCCCCGCTGACCCCGTCAGTGGGCCCTTTGCTCCTTAACCCCACCCCGGGCTGCCCAAGCTGTGGCTGATGCTGAGGACTTCTGCCCACTAGCCTCGCTCCTCCAGCTTCCAGTGATCAGCATTCCCAAGTTCAGCTAAAAAGGCCACGTCCTCAATGGAACGGCTGGCCCGGTTCAACTGAGCTGGAGACGATTTCCGGCCTTGGCCTGCCTGCGGCCCTTTTGTGTTTTCTTTTATGGTCCTGTCCTTGTGGTAGCTTCTCATCGAGGGCTCTGCCAGGCTACCTGCCATGCTAGACTGCGCACCTCAGTTGAACTGGAGCACCCTGCACCCAGAATACATGTGCTGGAATGCTCCCTTGGACGGGGAGCTTAAGGCATCCGTCACTGAATGGCCCCTCCGTTGTGTGCTGGGCAAATTCTGCTGGGCACCCAGAGGAGGCCTTTCTTTGCGCTTGCTGTTGTTATTGTTAGCTGCTGCTGAGTCACCCCCGGCTGCTGGCAACCCCGTGCACAATGGAACGAAACCCTGCCAGGCCCTGCACTGTCCCCATGATGGGATGCAGATCAGACCATTGTGATCCACTGGGTTTTCATTGGCTGATTTTTGGGAAGTAGATCACCAGAGCTTTCTTCCTAGTCTGCTTAGCCTGGACGCTCCGCTGAAACCTGTTCAGCGTGGCAGCAGCACGCAAGCCCCCACTGACGGAGGGATGGTGGCTGCACGTGAGGTGCATGGGCCCGGAATCAAACCCGGGTCTCCTGCGTGGAAGGTGAGAATTCTACCACCGAAGCACCACTTACTAGGGAAGCTTTTAGCTTATCCCCCTTTAGTGTTTCATTTCCAAGGACTTGCCACGGCCACCGAGAGCAAGCCTTGAGGTTATCTCATTCGTCTGCCCGGGGACGTGAGGGGCCACCCCTGGCAGGTGCACGGGATCGCAAGCCTCACGATTGTTTCCCTGCTTAGGTCATCTCTTCCTTCTAACCTGGAGATCAGACGGCTGGAAGACGGAACTGAGGGAGTATTCGCCGTAACGCAGCTCGTCAAGCGAACCCAGTTCGGCCCATTTGAGTCTCGGAGAGTTGCCAAGTGGGAGAAAGAATCTGCATTTCCACTGAAGGTAAAGACTGGTGCCAACCAGAGCGTAAGAACCGGAAGTGGTTTTCTGTTTTTATCGTGGTGAAAAGATACACAACCAAAGAGTCCCCAGTTCACCAATTTCTACATGTATAATTTGGTGACATTGATTACAGTCTTCATGTTACACGACCATTCTCAGTATCCTTTTCCAACTTATTCCGCCCGCGTTAAGACCGACTTGGTGCCCCCTAAGCAGTCACTCCCCTTTCCCTCTCCTTTAGGGCTGGGGAAGGGTCACTATGGTGTTTCAAGAAATGTTTTGGAAACGTCCCTAAATATTGTAGTTTTGCTTGATTTCCTAGAAAACGTTTCTCTTTTTATTACTATGCCGTGAGAGAATCACAGTTAACTTGGTGTTCTGTAGTTTCCAACTTTGCATTACGGTAAAAAGAGTGTATTTAAAATGTGGGCAGGAGGATTAGGCCACAATTGCTGATTTGAGTTCCCTTACAGCAGGGGTTGATCCTGCAGGCTGCACGCGGTGGTGATTTTCCTCGTTTCTCCCAAGGGCGTCAACATAATTATTTTCATATCCATTGCAGAGTGTACGGTGCTTTTTAAAACTCCCTAAAGGAAGGCGTTTTGCTTAGGCAGCGATGATACGCTGGGTGATAGTATAAAACTTGGCAGCTCTGGAAAACACACCAGAGTGAAAAAAGGCAACTGCTCTCAATTTTTACCATCGAGAGAAACAAAATGAATATAAATTGCAGCAGGGCCTTAGAGTAGCTTAAAATAAGACTCTGGAAGCTCCATGAAGACAGGTAGGGCAGGATTTGTTCACTGCTCTGCCCTCCTCGATTCCAGCTCATGACAACCCCATGTGTTTCAAAGTAGAACTGTGCTCCATAGAGTTTTCAATGGATGTGATCTTTTGAAAGTAGATTACCAGGCCTTTCTTCTGAGGTGCCTCTGGGTGGATTTGAACCGCCAACCTCTCAGTTAGTAGCTGAGTGCTTAACCGTTTGTGCTACCCAGAGACTTCTGTCCCCTTATCCCCCTCGAATAGTGCCTGGCACAGAGCAACTCCTTAAATGTGTTTGTCAGATAAACAAATGGGAGTGGCTGTTAGCACAAGTTCCGGACGGAGGTGAACTTTGCTTAGAGAGCCTTAAAAGGGATCCGCTTGTTTCAGGACAGGCAGATGGAGTAGATGACCTCAGGTTTTTGGCAGTCCTTTGACAATTTAGTTTACAAGGCAAATTTCAGCAAAGAGGGAAAAGTAAAGGCACTTGATTTACTTACAAGGGAAGAAGAGGGAGGAAGGAGAAGAAGCCCTCTGCGCCCTTTTTGGTCTTTCTGGTGCTTGATTCTGTAGGTCAGCGTCTGGTGCTGTGCCTAGCCTGTGTGGCTGAGGCAGAGGATGCCCCCCCGGCCAGGTACTGAGACCAGCGAGGGGACGCCCTCCACACTGACTTGGGGCTCCCTAGGGGCAAGTAGGAAGCTCTTAAAGGAAAAGCTTCAAGAGATAGAAGAAACTTCTTCCTACAGTGAGGAAGCAATAATCCCATTGAAAAATAGGGGATGAAACCTCTAATTGGGAGGGTTATCTGAGTTTCAAAATATTTGAATCTTGGGGAACACTGAGTTTCTATTCAGGGTAACCAGAAAATTTGGAAATGGATAGTGGTGATGGTTGTCCAATGTGATGAATGCAATCAGTGTCACTGAACCATCCATGTAAAACTTGTTGAATTGACAAAATATATATATATATGTAAATGTTTCTTTCTGCTTCCTGTCTGCCTGAATCTATAAAGCAATAGTTCTGTTTTATGGGTGAGGAAGCAGATTAAGACAGAACAACTTCGCTAAGTCATCCAGCATACTTGTAACAAAGCCAGGAGTAGAACTCAGGTGTCCTGGTACCCACCTGGTGTCCATATACCTGCCTAGACCAGGAATAGAATTCAGGTGTCCTGATGGCCAGATAGGCATAGATATCAGGTGTCCTGGTGGCGCAATGGTTAAGAGCTTGCTGCTAACCAAAAGCTCGGCAGTTTGAATCTACCAGTTGCTCCTTGGAAACCCTGTGGGGCAGTTCTACTCTGTCCTATAGGGTCACTATGAGTCAGAATCGACTCGACGGCAACAGATATGTTGTGGTGCCCATCTGGACCGGTAGTAGAACTCAGGTGTCTGCATATCTACCTGGACCAGGAGTAGAACTCAGGTGTCCGATTCCTGCCTATACCAGGAATAGAATTCAGGTGTCTCTGCGCCCACGTGGACCGATGACTTTTTGCTGTATCTCCTGCTTCCCTTTTGCCTGTGACCAGACGGAGCCGTCTTAGCCAGGTGGTCTCCCTGTGATCCTCTTAATTACTGTAAACCCTGAACAGCCCCCATACAGGAGCCTGACGTGGACCTTGGTGAGGCACCTTCTGGGTTGATTCCCCAGCACCCGCTCCTGCACACACTGACACAGAGACACAGGTTGGTCGGTACCCAGCTCCTCCTCACCGCCCCTCCCCGGGGGGCTGTGCTCACCCCTCAGGTGTTCCAGAAGGATGGGCACCCCGTCTGCTTTGACACCTCCAACGAGGACGACTGCAACTGGATGATGCTGGTGCGGCCGGCGGTGGAGCACGAGCACCAGAACCTGACAGCCTACCAGCAGGACAGTGACGTGTACTTCACCACCTCGCGGGACATCCCGCCCGGCACGGAGCTGCGCGTCTGGTACGCCGCGTTCTACGCCAAGAAGATGGACAAGCCCATGCTGAAGCAGGCCTGCGCCGGCACCCACGGTGCGTGGCTCACGCCGTACCCTGTTCTCTGTCCGCAGCTAGCCTTCCCCCGTAGACGCTGAGGCAGTAAGCGCTGCTGGCGAGCCGGCCATGGTGGGAGAGCGGTGGGTTGGAATGATGCCACACAGTTGGGTCCGTTGTTCTGCTTTTTATTTTTTTCTTATTGTACTTTAGATGAAGGTTTACAGAACAGTTTCTCATTAAACAGTTAGTACACATACTGTTTTATGACATTGGTTAACAACCCCATGACATGTCAACACTGTCCCTTCTCAAACTTGAGTTTCCTATTACCAGCTTTCCTGTCCCCTCCTGCCTTCTCGTCCTTGTTCCTGGGCTGTTGGGCCCCATTAGTCTCATTTTGTTTTATGGGGCTGTCTAATCTTTGGCTGAATGGTGAAACCTCAGGAGTGACTCCATTACTGAGCTGAAACGGTGTCTGGGGGCCATACTCTTGGGGTTTCTCCAGTCTCTGTCAGGCCAGTAAGTCTGGTCTTTTTTTGTGAGTTAGAATTGTGTTCTACATTTTTCTCCAGCTCTGTCCGGGACCCTCTGTTGTGATCCCTGTCAGAGCAGTCAGTGGTGGTAGCCAGGCACCATCTAGTTGTACTGGACTCAGTCTGGTGGAGGCCGTGTAGCTGTGGTCCATTAGTCCTTTGGACTAATCTTTCCCTTGTATCTTGTTTTCTTCATTCTCCCTTGCTCCCAAAGGGGTGAGACGAGTGGAGTATCTTAGATGGCTGCTCACAGGCTTTTAAGACCCCAGACTCTACTCACCAAAGTAGAATGCAGAACATTTTCTTTATAAACTGTGTTATGCCAGTTGAGCTAGATGTTCCCAGAGACCATGATTGTTCTGCTTTTTAAATATCTGGTGGGTGGACAATTAGAAGAGCTTCCCCGTAAGCCACGAGCTAACTTCTGGAAAGTTCTGTCCCCCTCTCTACCACGTAAGTTGGGTGCTTTGGCACAGGACAGTCAGCGCTGAGGCAGCTGTGCGTCCAGGGCTTTCCAGGCAGGAAGTTGTCTCCCTGTGCTGTGAGGTGGGACCCTACGGCTGGTTTTGACAGAGGAAGCTGAGCTCAGAGAGCGTATGTTAGTGTCTAGGAGCTGCCATAACAAAGCACCGCAAACTGGGTGGCTTGCCAGGACAGAAACGTGTTCCCTCACAGTTCTGGGGGCTGGAAGTCCCAGCCCAGGGTGTTGTGAGGCAGGGCCGTGGTCTCTCTAAGGCTGTAGGGGAGGGTCCTTCCCTGTCCCTTCCAGGTCCCAGTGGCCCAGGCGCTCCTTGGCTTGTAGGCTCAATGCCCCAGGCTTGGCCTCTGTCTTCACACGGCCAGCCTCTCTGTGTGTCTGTCCCTGCGCCCTCTGCTCTTCTTAGATGGACACCAGTCCTTGGACTTAGGGCCCACCCTGCATCCAGGATGATCTCATCTCGAGGTACTTAACTGAGTACATCTGCAAAGACACTATTCCCAACTAAGTTCACAGGGACCAGGGGTTAGGACTTCAACATATTTTGGGGGACATGGTTCAGCCCACTCCAGAGGTTAAAGAACTTGCCCAAGGTCACAGAGCAGGGGATGAAAGAGTCAGAATTTGAAGCCAGGATCTGACTCCTCTGTCAGTGCCCTTCACCTCTGTAGCAGCTGCCTCCCGGCCTTGGGGTGTGTGTGTGTGTGTGTGTGTGTGTGTGTGTGTGTGTGTGTACGTGCATGCTCACATGCATATGTGCACATGTGTGCATGCATGTGTGGGTGGGTGTTGTATGGCTGGCATACATGTATGCATATGTGTGAACATAGGTGCGTGTAAGTATGCACACATGTGCACACGTGTGCATGAATGCAGGTGTTCAAAGAAAGTCCAAGCAAAGGTCATGTGAGCAATTTGTCCGAATCCAACACTCCTAATGGAGAAGTAAATCAAAATGCTTGCCCGTCCAGCCAGGGTCAGGTACCTCACTTTGTCCCTGAAGGGGGCTCATTACACTTTCAATACCTGTGTGTGGTCTTTTTGATGTAGATCCTCCACTTCACCTCAAAGACCCCTGTGAAATGGCTGGTATCTCACCTCACTGGATGTGCAAAAACAGCGATTTCCCGAGGCTTATCTAACACCACCCAGGGGAGCAGTTAACTGTTGCCCTGAAGATAATTTGCTCAAGACGGAGAAGTGGACAGCCCCCGGCTCTCCTTCTGACCCCAAACATGGTGTAATTCTGACAAGAGAATAGTTTTCTTTTTATTATAAACAAGATGTGGTATGAAGTAACCCTACAGGGTGAGCTTCTTAATCTGTTTGCAAGGGCCTGGTCGCTCCTGTGTGTGTTCATTATCGTTGCGGTTTTATAAAATACAATGTGACATAGCTGTCCTAGTTGTCTCTGTCCCAAAGAGGTGCCGGCAGGAGTCCCCGACAGGCTGGGCCTGAGTGTCTTGGGGCTGCCGTAAACAAAGTCCCTCACACTGGGCAGCTTAAAACAACAGATACCTATCTTCTCACAGTTCTGGAGGCTAGAAGTCTGAAATCACAGGGCCATACTCTCTCTGGAGTCTGTAAGGGCAAATCCTTCCTTGCCTTTCTCCTAACTTCTAGTGACTGCCAACACTCCTTGGCTTGTCCATCCATCACTCCAGCCTCTGCATCCGTTGTCTCTTGTCCGTCTCCCTGCGTCCTCTCCTTGTAAGGACACCTGTCATTGGATGTAAGGCCCACCCTAAATCCAGCATGATTTCATCTCGAGATCCTTAGCTAATTACATCTGCAAAGACCTTCTTTCCAAATCAGTTCACGTTCTGAGGTTCTCTGTACACTTGCCTATCCTGGGTAGTTCATATAAGTGAACTCCTACAATTCTGTCCCTTTGTGTCTGACTTATTTCACTCAGCATAGGGATTTCAGGGTTCATCCATGTTGCAACATTTATCAGAACTTCATTTCTGTCTATGACTGAATGATACTGCATTGTATGGATAGACCACATTTTGTTTATCTGTTCACCTGTTGATGGACATTTGGGTTGTTTCCACCTTTTGCAATTGTGAATAATGCTTCAGTGAACATTGGGGTACACGTATCTGATTGAGTCCCTGCTTTCAGGTCTTTTGATATGAAGTCAGCACTGGGATTGCTGGTTCATATGATAGTTCTGTGTTGAACTTTTTGAGGAACTGCCAGCTGTGTGCCACAGGGGCTGCACCATTCTCCATTCCCATCAACGATGCACAGGGTTCCAGTTTCTCCACATCCTCACCAACATTTGTTATTTTCTCTTTTTCTGATAACAGCCATCCTGGTGCGTGTGAAGTGGGATCTCCTTGTAGTTTTGATTTACATTTCCCTAAGTTAAGCTTGGAAACCGTGGTGGCAGAGTGGTTAAGAGCTACGGCTGCTAACCATAAAGGTCGGCAGTTCAAATCCACCAGGCGCTCCTTGCAAACTCTATGGGGCAGTTCTGCTCTGTCCTATAGGGTTGCTATGCGTCAGAATTGACTCTACAGCAACGAGTTTTTTTGGAAGTTGAGCTTCTTTTCATGTGCTTATTGGCCGTTTGTATATCTTCTTTGGAGAAATCGTTGGCATTTTTGACTAGCGTCTTTCTAGTTTTTTAAATCAGCATTGTTGAGGTTTAATTTACATACAATAAAATTCACCAATTTTAAGTGTACGGTTCAGGCAGTTTTGACAAATGTATATACCCATGTAAGCTCTACCACAATCAAGGTCTGGAACATTCCCATCTGCCTGGAAAGTTCTCTTGTGTCGCTTTGCGGTCACTCCCTCTACCCCGGCCCCTGCCAGCCCCTGCCAGCCACTGAGCTCCTTTCTGTCCTTTGGGTTTTGCTGTTTCTTTTCTGATTTTTTAGAAACTGTATTTTTACCTTAAACCAAAAATATCCCCTGAAGTCATCTTAAAACCGAACAGTAGTTTTTAGCTTAACTAGAAAAAAGGTCTGCCTTGAGCATTAGGGTCTTTTAAGAACTATCTATATGGGATCAGATTGACAACAGCAACTCGAAAGATTAGATAGGAACCTTAGGGGGCAGTGAGTTTATGCTAATGAAGGAGGAACAACTCAGAAAAGGAGCGTGAGAATGGTTGCACAACTCAAAGAATGTAATCAATGTCGCTAAATCGTACACGTAGAAACTGAACAAAATTTTTTTACATAGTTGAGGTCTTACCATGTATGCCATTTTATTGCTTACTTTTATTTGCACGTACACTTTGTACTTACAATCCTCTTTGAAGCATTTTCCCTATCATTACTGTCTTCCTGGCAGTCTCTTATGGCTGGGTAGTGTTACGTTTTGCACGTTATTCTTACTTGTCCGTCAGTTCGGCTCAGATGCATGGCGACCTCGTGTATATTTGCTGGTCCTGTACCATCTTCATAATCTTCGATATGTTTGAGCCCATAGTTGCAGTGATTGTGTCAATCCATCGCATTGGAGTTTCCCATGTTTTCACTGGCCTTCCGCTTTACCAACACGCCGTCCTTTTCTAGAGATTGGTCTTTCTGATAACAAGTCTGAAGTAAGCAAGATGAAGTCTTGCCATTCTGACGTCTAAGGAGCATTCCAGTTGTATCCCTTCTAAGACTGCTTTGCTCATTCTTCTGGCAGTCCATGGTATATTCAATATCCTTTGCCAACACTACGATTCAAATACATCCGTTCTGTCTTCTTTTTCAATGTCTTGCTTCCGCATGTATATGAGGTGGTTGAAAAGACCATGGCTTGGTTCAAGTGCACTTGAGTCATTTTGCTTGAACACTTCTATTTTGTTGGTTATTTAAGTAATTGGCAATCTTGATTGCCAGTTGTTGGCAATCTTGATTGCCAGTTGTTGGCTAATCTTTTTTTTTAATTCTTTTAAAAATAACTTTTGGAAAATCCTACTTCTTGATGAGAGGTCAGAGGTCATGACTAACTAGTTCTACTTCTTTTAGTTGGTCCTGTTTACCTAGCATCCAGGCACCAAGTTGAAGAGAACCAATTTCTTTTTCCAATTAGTTTGAATTAGCATTCACGGCGGCTGGGGGAACCTTATTGCTGTAGACAGAGGGTCGTGCAGAATAGAAGAAATCACGTCTGCTCTCAATTAATCCCCATCCTCCAGCATATATGCCCTCTAGAGTCTGACATGTTTGGGAAGGTGAGTGAGAAACGGGAATTTGGCTCTCTTTCCCATTTGTTCCCCTGTATACCCTCCCCAACTCCAGTCTCCTTTTGGTTCTTCAGCCAGCAGACTCTCCAGTGAGTGCGAAAGAGCTGGTTGGGTCCAACATCACGGATCGACAGCAAGCTTTGCTGGGGGCTCCAGCCCGGCTCTCTCTCTCCTCTTTCTGTTGGCTTTAATACAGCAAAAAAAAATTCCACGTTGCACTTACGTTCCTTTTTTTCTTCTTATGAACATACATTTCTTTTTTCTTTTTTCTTATGAAGGCCCTCAGAAAACACATGCGGAACAGTGTAGCAGTAATCCGCATCGTTTTCTTCTGTTCTTTGCTTCAGTATCGCCAACTTTTGCGAGCTTTTACAGCTTTTTGCGAACTTTTGCACTCGCAGTTCTGAGTGGCTTTTGTAAGGACCAGGAGTCTTTGTGGGCAAGTGGCCCCTAGTGTGGCAGGGACCTGGAGCTTCAGTGCTGGATGTTCGGTGGCAGAATAGAAGGGCTGGTGGGGAGTTATCACCCCCCGACCAGCCCCAAGCTGAGGCCGTGATATCCGGGAAGCTGCCAAGCAAGGTTTTGAGGAACTGGGCCAGGGCAGGAGTTCTGCTGCTACGTTCATGAAGGACCCTAACTTTTTCTTTATTTTCTTTTTATTTTTTATTGTTGTGCTTTAAGTGAAAGATTACAATTCAAGTGAGTCTCTCATACAAAAATTTATACACACATTGTCTTGTAACCCTAGTTGCTCTCCCTATACTGTGACAGCACACTCATCCTTTCCACCTCAGATTTCCCATGTCCATTCAACCAGCTCCTGACCCTCTCTGCCTTCTCATCTCACCTGTGGACAGGAGCTGCCCATTAAGTCTCTTGTATCTACTTGAGCTCAGAAGCACACTCTTTGCAATTATCATTTTATGTCCCATAGACCAGTCTAATCTTTGTCTGAAGAGTTGGCCCCAGGAATGGTTTTAGTTTTGGGCTAACAGAGAGTCCAGGGACCATGTCTTCTGGGGTCCCTCCAGTCTCAATCAAATCATTAAGTCTGGCCTTTTTACTAGAATTTGAGTTCTGTACCCCACTTTTCTCCTGCTCCATCAGGGACTCTCTGTTGTGTTCCCTGTCAGGGCAGTCATTGGTGGTAGCAGGGCACCATCTAGTTCTTCTGGTCTCAGGCTGATGCAATCTCTGGTTTATGTGGCCCTTTCTGTTTCTCAGGCTAATATTTTCCTTGTGTCTTTGGTGTTCTTCATGCTTCTTTGCTCTAGGTGGGTTGGGACCAGTTGATGCATCTTAGATGGCTGCTCGCTAGCTTTTAAGACCCCAGACACGACTCATCAAAGTGGGATGCAGAACATTTTCTTAATAAACTTTGTTATGCCAGTTGACATAGATGTCCCCTGAAACTATGAGGACCTTAACTTTTTGACCTCACAAAACCATCAGTGATTAAAAAATAAACGGAAGCTGCAGTTCCCTTTTTCAGAGCCAGGTGTGTGTCCTATGCATCCTTGCCACTGTCCTCTCTCCACTGACCCTGGTGTGGTGGGGACAGAGGATGATGAAGAAGGATTGGAGCAGCACTGCTCAGGATGGCAGCCACCAGCCCTGTGTGGCTGTTTAAATTCAATCCAAATGAAATGAAAGACTCGGTTCCTCAGACACACTAGCCACATCAAGTGCTCATTAGCCACGGTAGCTCCTGGCCACCGTCTTGCACAGCACAGAGACAGAGCATGTCTGTCCTTGCAGAAGGCTATACTGGACAGCACTGGGCCAAGCCACAGCCACACTGGGCACAGGAGCCCCCACTGGCTGGCTGATTTTGGTCCCCTTTCTTTTGCATGAGCCAATGAGAGATTCAGAGATTAAATTTGGTTCTTTAGGATACATTTTTTTAATTCTTAAAGTCATCTAAAGGATGCCTCTGGCCCCACTAGAGCTTTCTGGAAGGTGGTAAGAATTCTGTGACTGGCTGCAGGGGACAGAGACTGAGGCAGACTGCTCTGGTTCAAATGGGCGTATGATTGTTCCTCTCTGGGCTCAGTTTTCCCATCTGTAGGATGGGGATAGTTATGGGGATGGAATGAGTGAATATGTGTCAGACTCCAGGAATGGTGCGTGGAACGTTGGAAGTGCACGTATTGTTGCTGTTAGTTGCCATTGAGTCGGCTCCAGCTCATGGCACCCCCATGCTCAACAGAACGAAACACTGCCCAGTCCTTCGCCACGCTGACATGCTCAAGTCCATTGTTGGGGGCACTGTGTATTCTGAGTGCCTTCCGACCTAGCATCTTCATCTTCCAGCACTATATCAGGCAGTTCTGTTGTGATCCGTAGGGTTTTCATTGGCTAATTTTCAGAAGGAAACCCTGGTGGTGTAGTGGTTAGGAATTTGGCTGCTAACCAAAGAGTCGGCGGTTCGAATCCACCAGGTGCTCCTTGGAAACTCTATGAGGGAGTTCTACTCTGTCCTATAGGGTCACTACGAGTCGGAATCGACTCGACGGCAATGGGTTTAATTTTCAGAAGTAGATTGCTGAGCTTCGCTTCCTAGTCTTAGTCTAGACGCTCGCCTGTCCACCATGAGTGATCCTGCTGGTATTTGCAATAGTGGTGGCATAGCTTCCAGTGTCACAGCGACACACAAGCCCCCACAGTGCTGCAGACTGACCGACGGGCGGTAGAACTGCTCACGAACACCAGCCATTCCTGACCACCTGCTAGGACAGATGCATCATCCACTGGGCCCGGGCTCCGTGGAGCTGCTTGTGATCACTGTTTTCTCCTCCTTGTCTTTCAAGCTGCAGGCACCCCGGAGAGCAGTGCCCCCGTGGAAGCAGAGCCTAGCCAGTGGGCATGCAAAGTGTGTTCCGCCACATTCCTGGAGCTGCAGCTCCTCAACGGTAATGGGGCGCGGTCGGGTCGCGGTTGGGTTGGCTGTGCTCGGGCTCACGCTGATTCCCACCGTCACTGCCTTGCGGTCCCTTTGGATGGGGGATAACACCCACGTTCACTGTGTCCTTTTAAGTCCCACCCTAACCCTCTGCCTTATCGCCTGCCACAGTTTAGTCACCAGAACCACCCTCCACAGGGTTAGACGCTTCCAGGTCACCTACCCTCGGAGTCACAGGCCCTTCCTCCTCCCTGTTACACCGCTGGCCGAGAGCTGCCTAGCTAGGCAGGGGCCCTGGATGCAGAGAGAGGCCAGCGGGCGCAAGGAGCCAACTGAGCACGGCCTGGTTTGCAGCGTTTGTTTTCTGTACTCTCCCAGTTTCTCGATCTGCAGGAAGTTTTATCAGTTTAAGGTGTTTGGGACAGAATTGAATTAAGCACCAGGTTATGCCACGCTCTGGTAAATTTATGTGGCCATTCTCTTGTGGAGTTGATGTTCCTACGTGCTCGTTATGAGGCTAATGTGTAGTAATGACCTTAGTCAAATGAAACATGGGAGAAATCTTATTGAAGTACAGTTTGTGGCCTTTCGTAGTACGTAGCATGTGCTAACAGGGGCCCAAGCTCTAATGGTATTTCAGGCAGTGCAGTTTTGAGGGTGTGACTTGAGGAGGCTGTACTGGGCTGAATAGTGTCCCCCAAAAGGCCACATCCATCTCCAGGATGACCTTATTGGAAATAGGGTCTTTGTAGATGTCATTAGCTAAGATGCGGGCATACAGGATTAGCATGGGCTGTAAATGCAATGACTGGTTCCTTATAAGAAGGGGAGAACTGATACAGAGAAGATGGTCACGTGGTGATGGAGGCAGAGATTGGAGAGATGCCGCCACACACCAAGGAATGCCTGGAGAGACAAGGAAGGATCTTCCCTAGAACCTCTGAGGGAGCGTGGCTCCGCTGACACCTTGATTTCTGACTTCTGGCCTACTGAACTGTGAGAGAATCAGTTTCTGCTGTTTAACGCCTCCCAGTTTGCGGTACTTTGTTAGAGCAGCACAGGACACTCATACAGAGACGCTCAGGCTGGAGGCGAGGGGCCCAGCTCCAGGTCAGATCACCAGGTGGGCAGTTGGAAGGTTCTGGAACCTGTGAAACCGTTTCTCAAGGCCAGATAGGTTTCCCTAACAGGAAGGTTAACGTGAACATTCCACAGACCAGAAGTTGCGGTTACGGAGTAGACCATTAAGGGGCTTTGGGACAACTACTAGTAAACTTCTGACTGTCCAAGGGAAGAAGAAGTAGTTCCTTCACTTTGGCAGTAAAATGCCTCTTCTGGTCACCTGAGTAAGGCAGTCAGTTCTGGCGCCCCTCGTATAATTTGGCTGACGTTCAGAGACTGACTTGGTGCCGGGCCCTGTTCTAGGCACGTGCGTGTGTTAACTCTGTCAGTTCTCAGAGCAACCCTTTGGTACAGTTAGTACTCCCACAGCAAACGAGGCGAGAGCTGGTAACTGACCCGCCCACAGCTGTGCGGCTAGTACTTGATAGCGTCCAGAGCCCTGTTCCTGCCCTGTGCGGATGGGTAATCTCCTCCCGCGGTGCCAGGGTCTAGCAGCAGGCTGTCTCTGGGGCTGAGGGGCAGAGGAGTCGGGGGCAGAACTGAGCGAAAGCGGAGGGCTGCAAAAGCAGGATCTGGGAGGCTATCCTGGAGGAGCTGTGGGCCTGTGTGTGTCGCCAGCAAACTGGCTTCGAGGCAGGCCCAGAGCTGGTGTTGTGCGTGTTTGGAGCAAGGCTTCAGAGAACAGAATGGAGTTGGCTGTGTCAATATTGCTGGGTTTTAATGGGAAAAAAATGAGTGTAATCACTTTATTTCCTATTCATTCCCTCTAGAATAAAAGCGATACGAGGCAAAGTTGGTAATCTGGTGACGTCTGAAATTGCCTTATGTAAGGTGGCGTGTGAGAGACTGGCCTGATTTGGGAAAACTGGATTTTGTAGCTTCAGGATCCAACTCGCCACTTAAGTGCTTTTGGAGGTCAGCGTTCTTCCCAACCAAACCAGTGCTTTGCATCTGGAGCCTTTTGATTACTTTATTTAGCATTCATTTATTTATTATTTTTTGGAATTAGACAGGGAAGATACATAACTTCAGGCAAGTAAAGGCTGACTTAGGCACGCCCTTCAGAGCACCAGAATGTGGGATGAAGTTGCTAGAACTGGCAGTTGGGTCAAGCAAAAGACAGCCATCCTTGCCCTTCCCTCAGAGGGAATATGGCACTTCCCTCTCCTCCCCTTGGTGATGAGCCCCACTCATACTTCAAGAGTCAGCCGAACATGGGGCCTCGAGTGTGTGCATGAACCTTGATGCCTTCCGGAATTCCTCTAAAACGACAGTAGCAGATCCACCGAAATGACAATAACGAAATAATGAGGAAGCACAGAATAGCAGGCAGTTTTGGCAGTTGGAAAGGATTTAGACACATGATAACTACTAAGCAGACAAGAGAAGCTGAAACCAGCCATGGGGGAACCCAAGAAGCAAGTGACTTCCTGCTGTCGAGTGTCAGAAGTCAGACATTGTAAGCGCAGAGGCCTCGAAGCAGTAGCCCTCAGGGGGAGCTGAAACCAGGTGTTGGTTGAAAGTCTGTGTGAGAAGCAGTAGACCTTCTAGGTTCCCTGCCCTGTTCCTCTCAATTACATGTCTCCTCCTGCCTCAACGCAGCAGACACTGGGCTTACGCACTGGAGAGGTTGACGTAAAGGGACTCATGACTGGGGACTCCAGGCATGGCACTGTCCTGGACATGGGGACTCAGGGAAGGCTTGATCCTGAAGTGTGAGAGCCCTTCAGCTTCCTTCTTCTGTTTTTCTCCCAGAACACTGACAGCCAGCTTTATACTCCAGGGGGGAACATGGGATTTCTCTGGAGAAACTGACTAGTCCAAGAGAAAAGACTGAGGAGTACTGTGAGTTGGGGCCTGCCAGTAAAATGACCAGTCACCACGCCATCATTCTGCAGGGAAGCCAGCATGCACCCGGGCACTCAGTGAAACCTTCAGTGTGATCGTTCTGCCCAGGATCACTGGCGCTGCAAGCCATTCTCTAATATGAGAGACAGGGAGACCAAAACAAACAGCAGGAAAAAAATTGCGCTGAGAAAGCAGGGTAGATTGAAGCAGAGGAGAAACTGAAAACCAAACGCAAAATTATGATACTGCGGTAGGAGATGATATTACATCCTTGAAATAAGAACAGGTTACTGTTTTAAAAAAAGAGAGAAAGAAAAGACTTGGAAATTAAAGCTATGCTAGCAGAGTTACCCGCACCTGTCTGTCAGTTTGTCAAACAGTGGGGGCTTGCATGTTGCTGTGATGCTGGAAGCTATGCCACGGATATTCAGATACCAGCAGCGTCACCCATGGCGGAAAGGTTTCAGCTGAGCTTCCAGAATAAGACAGACTAGGAAGAAGGACCCGGCAGTCTACTTCTGAAAAGAATTAGCCAGCGAAAATCTTATGAATAGCAGGGGAACGTTATCTGATATAGTACCTGAAGATGAGCCCCCCAGGTTGGAAGGCACTCAAAAGACGACTGGGGAAGAGCTGCCTCCTCAAAGTAGACTCAACCTTAATGACGTGGATGGAGTCAAGCTTTCAGAACCTTCATTTGCTGATGTGGCATGACTCAAAATGAGAAGAAACAGCTGCAAACATCCATTAATAATTAGAACGTGGAATGTACCAAGTAAGAATCTAGG